TCATATAAATTGTTTCATATAAATTTGTTTTGCGAATAATTTCGATTAACAATTTCGATTAACCAATGATATTTTTGAAATATCACGGGATGATCTACAAAAATCAGCCAATTACAATGAAAGCCCGCTATGCTAGTCCATGCAAGTTCTCTACCGTATCGTCGCGAAATAACGCCTCGGCGTTATTTAAGGATGCATTGCTTGAAGAGATCTAATAATTAATTCTGTAATTTAACCAAAGACTTTTAATAACAAAAATTATGATTCGCATTCGATTAAATAAATTATTAGCTCTCTTCAAGCAATATGTCTCGAAATAACGCCAGGGCATTATTTCAAGACGATACGGTAAAATAATTAGTTACACGCATTAAATTATCTACAATTAGATTAATTCTATACGCTTTATCGAACCTTGCGCTGCGGATTCCCAAGATACCAAGATCCACCGTGGCAATAAGGCTTATCACAGAAAACGCCGCCGTTTTATTATATAGTATACATTAAGTAACTAGTAACTTGTATGAATATTTACGAATTATCACTTTTAAATTTAACGACCACATAAAATTTTGTACGTAAATGATTGATCAAATTTTATTTTCTGTTTACTAAATAAATCAACTCAAAAAACATAAAAAACATATCAGATATATTTTTACTCATACAGTACGTATACCGTAAGTTTAACCCTTGAAATAGATTGTATAAGATAATTGGTTACTATTTTTACAAATATGTATTAGGAGTTCGTCATTACACTTGGATCTTTAATACAAGTCTAGTGATTATACTACGTTCTTGATTTAATTTAATATACAGTCTAGTTTTATCGTTATCGTTATGTAATCCTTAACAATAAGATGTACTTTTGTATTAGTAGTTATTAAAATATCTAAACAGAAACAAAGATACTTAACAATTCTATCAAGAATATAAAATCAAAATAACTTGATTATGCAAATACAGTTGCACACCCGTATAAGAACCTCCTACATAAGCATATTTATTTTTTGAACCAACTGCTATTAAATGAGTACTGCCAAGGGAAAACCCGAAATCCTATTTAAGATTTGCGGGTTTTCTCTTGGCGGCACTCAAATATATAAGTACATTCTAAGTATATCTCCTATATAAGAACATTTTTAATAGGTCCTGATGGCATAACTATATGGGGGTGCGACTGTATATAATTTAACATCGGTATCACGATAAACAAACTATAAATTAATTATATAGTAGATTTTAAAGTTATAAGCATAGTCTTTTAGACGTGTTATAACTGTATTACTCCCCCTTATAAGTGCAGAAATATTTACGTCAATGGGTTATATTCCATTTCTGCACTCTTCACAATGGAAGGTTTACTAATTTTCCCACCACTTCTACCACTTCTGATTGGTTCTACTAATTATTCCCATATCGGAATATCTATGTTATTAATCAATTTTACCGTACTCCGACAGTGAAAGTGGTAGAGAAAATTAGTAAACCCCTTTTCAATGGGATATAACTCAATGACGCAAATATTTCTGCACCTATATTCCACCTGTGATGTCCTTTGATGATATAACTAATGCGTTATCTATCGTTAATGCATTATGCTGTACAAGTAACGATTACAATAGATATTGTATTTATTCCCAACCATCTTTTAATATATAATTCAAACAAGACTGAAATAAAGATCTGGGATCGATCTTATCCCGTGCTCACATGAGTACTCGTGAAATAGAAGTAGTATTATGTTTTTCGCCATTTCAAAGATTTGAGCATATATTCCATAGAACTTATCGATTATGACGTCAATTAGGAGTAATAGGTGAAGTAGGAATAGTAAAACAAAAACCGTCACTTGCCATACAATGTAGTTCGCTCAATAGAAAAATAGTAAACAAGTAGCTTGCACCCGAATTTCTCATTCGGCTTTTTTAAAAAATTTATTATAGAGTTCGGTATAGAAACATAATAAATTATTCAATAAGGAACTTTAAAATTTTTTACTTTAAGAATCAACAGTTTGCCATATAGAGTTTGGCTATATTTGAAATCATAATGTTATCAATTATTGAATAATTTAATATAAAAGGTTATTAAAAAAAAAAAAAAATCCAATTGTCCTGCTAACTCTTTATTTCTTACGGTCATTTCTCTCACAACACATTCCTTTTGTTAAGCTTATTTCATTCATCGCAATCTCCGGTTAGCCTTAAATACAGCCCCGTCTTCCCACAAACGTTTAGCAATAATTGCTAAATTTTTTGTGTCATCGATTCCTGAATGTTCATGCCCTTCAAACTTCAGACTATAATGCGCTAACATGCTAGAAATATTGCGCGGCCTACAATTGTAAAATTTTGCAAACAAAGTTCTGATATCTACCCATGGAAGGGAAAAATATCTTGGTCGAGATATTTTTGAAATTTTACATTGTTTTGTGATGAAATCACGAATATCCCAAGGACCTTAAATATGAACAATTTTAGATCGAGTCGTTATTAATATAAGACATAAAATATAATCTTACCATCAGTTAAGAATGAGCAACTTTCCTTATAAAAGAGCTAATGAATTTGATATGTATATATAAATAACATGAATTGGTTAATTCTTTATTTACAATATAAAGAAAGGTTGATAAAAGAAGAATAAATACTTGATGACTATGTAAGAACTCTTGAAATTTGCACAGCACTTCAGGAAATGACGGACTAATATCTATTGTTGACTATAAATAAAAACCAACCATAAATGATAGAAATAACGATAAACTAAATCCGACAAAAAAGAAAATCGCATACTTGTGGTATTCCAGTTAACTCTATACAGAACTTTGACAATACTGGATTATTACTTGGCTTGACGTAAGAATGAAATACATCAACCTTTAAATTAAGAAATAAATAAACAAAAGAACGTGTGAACTAACGCATTGTATATTCAAAGAAGCTACGGAATTATACTCACTACATCAAATGTTTTACTTTCAATTAATAAAACGGGAAATTCTATGATTTCATTCTTGTAATCAAAACCACCGCCTTGTTCACATGTTGCTTCAACATCGAGGCACAAATAATATTTAAATGGTTGTGCTCTATTCAAATTATGCGGTTGAACCAATTTGAATTTATGTAGTAAAATGAGTATAGGTAATAATCTAATATTTGATACCATGAATCATGAAAACTTTTAAAGACATACAAATTTTCTACACCTGTGGATACTACTGTGTTCGCCATAAATAACGGGAATCAAAATCGGGCACAAACCTTATATAACAAAAACTTGATTGCATTTTATCCCGATGCCGAAATTGTTACACTACTTATTTATATGTGTAACAATTTAAGTATTTTGAAAACTTCGTAATTAGTTTAAAAATAATATACAGTATATCGATATAGCTTTTACTAATTTTATTGTTATTACTATATACTATTTAACTGTACAAAATATAAATTTATAAATTATTTATTATTTATTAAAATAAATTTATATATTGTACATACGTATTTTGGTCCACAAATAGAATAGAGTTTTTTGTTATACATCGGGAAAATTTGAAGCCTGATTATAATTGATTATTAACAATTAATTATGATCGATTTAAATGTTAATATATAATCGATTATAATCACAAGCGATTTAACCGATTAAATCAATTTTAATTGATGTGTTTCGATTATAATTGATAAAAATCCTCATAACATTTAGTTAACAGGGGTGATGATAAGACCACACAAATTTAATTTATTGGTTCTCGTAACATGAAACTTTTAAAGTAGACCCGGTCGGCCGGCTTTTCTTTTTTAATTTTTTTATAAAAGCTCGCCCAATTATTAAAACATATAAAAAATTTTTTGTAAAATATTCAAAAGTTGACCCGGCCAGGTTACGAGAACCAATTAATTAACTTTGCATGGCCTTATTAATCAAAATCGTTAGATTTTAATTGGTTTTAAAATTTTCTAATGTATATAAAATTGGTTTGCTATAAATAATATATTAATAAATATATTAGTAGATTAAAAAGTTAAATTTAAGAAATAGCATAAACTATAACGTGGTGTTCAACACCGGTATAATACAAATTATAGATAAAACATAATGCATAAAAATTTTTTTGCTATTAGATTTAAGGTTAGAGTGTTCGGATTAAGGTTTGGTAGGATATAGTATATACTAAAATTTTGCAAAAAAATTTTTATTAGTGTATAAAGATTAGTTTCTTAAATTCTTAAGATAAAATTTTAATTATAGATGATTTTTGAAAAAATATAAAAAGAATCAAGTCTAATATAGATGACCTCTTCGGCAAAATGCATTTTAAAATTACTAGTCACAGCTATCCCAGTATCGCTGTCGTACGTCGGAACGGAATTATTGTGAATTTAGGTTGAAACGAATTCCAAATATAGTCAAAGTTGATACGAAATTTAAAAGCAACTTAACTATTAATTTGATCCTAAATTCGATACTGTAAGAATCGATAAATTTAATAGCAATTTAATTTTAAATTCTATACCTTAATAGATGTGTAATCGATCGCCGTAACGGTAGAGATTGAACCCTGCATAAAATTTAAGCTCTGGGTCACTCACCCGTTTACAAAGTTATTACCGGGTTACAAACCGGGTCATTTCTAGGTTTCATGTAAGAGTTGACCAATTTAATACTGAACTACTAAAGTTTAAATGCTTAAATCGTCTACTTTTAATAGATAATTAAAGTATTCTTACCCAGCATGGATTTGGTGTCATCACACCCAGGTTTTAGAAATATCCATATGATCATTTTTCTATATCTCTTGCTGATTTGTCAATGATTTTGCCATTAGTATTATTGCCTTGATCTTTATTATGTGTAATCGTTTCTTTATTCGCGTCAACTCAGTCAATAACGATAATTCATTTCTTATTTAATTTATTCTATTTCACGTTGATCTAATAGATAGGTACTAATTGAAGTATTGGGAATTTCAAATTCAAAGAATCTATTTTAGTAAGATAGTTGACATTTTATTTCAAATTAAGTTCCAAATACACTTATTTATAAGATAATTTT